ATTATGGTTTTATTTTTGGTGATATGGATGAACTGGCACTTTGAAGGGTTGAACTGTATGCCCCACTGCTTATCCCATAGAACAATATTGTCTATATCATGTTGGAATGTTGGGTTGGGGGGGGGGGGGGGGTGTAAGGTATAGACGGAGTATTATTTCGTAGCTCAACATGTACCTATGACATTTGTTGAGGTAGGATACAACAGGTTAAGAATTGACACAGCATTTACTGTTTATACATTTTCCTCACTATATATCAGCAACTTTTATATAAGAGTACATATTAAAAATGTAGGCGTATTTATTAACGATCATATGTTGCGATCACTTACCTACATTTGTAATTTGTTCAGAAAGACGTCTTTTGCGGTTTTATGTTATTTCCTTTTATTGTTTTCACAACATGAGCTCTTTCTATACTTTTTTTTTATCTCCACGGCTAAACTACGTTACATATATTTCAGTGAAACATCTTATATTTCACAATGCATGATAAATGATAATGTCTTACAGTTAAGCTTAATGATATTTTAGAAAAAATAATCCTTAAAGTACATGTATGCTTAAAACGGCATAAATTGAACATGTTGGAGGCTCGGTTTAATTTATTGGCGGTATTGGTAAATGCCTCATAGCACTTGTTTTTGTAGAATATGAGCTAGTGAACATTTGAATTAAAATTGAAAAATATCTGTGTTCATACGGCGGTGATCATTGAACCCTTGTCGGACCGTATATGTCACGGAACGTATATGTCACAAGTGTGGAACATATCCGGCCGAATCAGAGCTGTGTTTATGTGCCATATAAATATACCTTTCTTCAATTTGGTAGTAAACGCCTGACCGTATATGTCACACATTTAACACAGTAAACTAATATTATCATTGCCATTTTAACCTACATTTATCAATGTAAATAATACATAATCATCAACAACAACAGCAACAACAACATCATTATCATCAATGATACATCATCATCATCATCAACAATAACAACAACACAATTATCATCAATGATACATCATCATCATTAACAAGTAAATAACAACAACAATAACAACAACAACATCATTATCATCAATGTTACATCATCATCATTAACAAGTAAATAACAACAACAATAACAACAACACCATTATCATCAATGATACATCATCATCATTAACAAGTAAATAACAACAACAACAACAATAACAACAACATCATTATCATCAATGATACATCATCATCATTAACAAGTAAATAACAACAACAACAACAACAACAACATCATTATCATCAATGATACATCATCATCATTAACAAGTAAATAACAACAACAACAACAACAACAACATCATTATCATCAATGATACATCATCATCATTAACAAGTAAATAACAACAACAACAACAACAACAACATCATTATCATCAATGATACATCATCATCATTAACAAGTAAATAACAACAACAACAATAATAACAACAACATCATTATCATCAATGATACATCATCATCGTCATTGTAAATCATCACATATTTGTTTAAGTCCTCGCCGCCTTGCTTATCATTTTACCAGTAAGGACTACAGTGACTGGCTTTGTCGAAAATATGTGCTAAATATTTTGGATATAAATATTTATTGACTTGAAAATAAAATATCGACTTTTATGCGTCCACTCTGAGGAGGAGGGGGGATTTAAACATTTTACATGCCCGTGCGCCTGTGTCTAAGTACGTGCGCCTGTCCTTCCCGGAATCTTTAGTGTTTCTCCATAAATACTTCAGTTAGAGTCATGAAATTTTACATGAACGTTGGTCACCATTATGTGATTGTGCACCTGGGATTTCGCTTGTCGATTCGGACAGTCATGCCAGAGTTATTGCCCTTGACTAAGTCAAATCGGAAATTGTCAACTTGTGTCGCATCAACAGTATTTGAACTATGAATATGGTCATGAAAGTATAGATGTATAATTTTACAGTGCTGTGCACGAGAGGAGATAGTATGAATGGCGTTCTGTTCACTCCATATTTATAACTTGCTCCTTCAACGTTCTGTGATGCTTTTAAAAAACAATCATGGTCAGTTTCGGCTATGTTTCCTCATTTGACACAAGTACTGGTTAGTTCCAGGAAGCGGACTATAAAGTGGTTTATATAAGTTGAAAGAGCGTGTTTCTCTATCGAGTATAAATAAATATGTTAAAACTAAAAGATTGTAGATTTATTAAGGGCCAATCATTTTGTTCAAGCAGTAAGAAATATACAAAACATATTTAAGTGCAAGACGATAATATATTCTTGTTTACAGGGATATTGCAGTCCAATACTCACGAAATATGTTTTGCGCTTATTTGGTGAAATATATGTTTATTCTACACTTCTAAAAATTCGGTGAAATATTTGTTTATTATACACTTGTGATGATAATCATAATGATAATAATGCTGCTGCTGATGCTAGTTAAGATGGCGGATGTGGTATTTACGATTCCATTATTAGGTTATTTTTTTAATAACGGTATTGTGCAAAACGGACTTATTTAAGTAAAAATGAAATGCACAGGTGATTGGTATTTTAATTTTAATGCGCATGTTTGGAATGTGACAAATATGTTTTTGTGAGAATAGAAAAACTTCCAACCGAATATGTCACATTTTATGCTCCATTTTTGGCTAAAGAACGTGCCATATTCGGTCCGACAAACCCTCAATGAGGCAGGTTCTTGCCATTCGATAAAATGAGGCGTATGACATAAAAACTATTTAGAATTATATAAAACTGAACACAATCGATTATGTTAACCCGAAAGATAATGTGGTATTTGCACGTCTAAAGTAATTGTAAATCTGAGTCAACTAATCAAGCTATTTTATAAGACATTAAACAGCTTTATCATACAAAACTTATTTTAAAAGCTTGTTTTTAAAGCCGTTGTTATTTATACACTGGTATATATTAATGTATGATAAATGTCGTATTCTAGTACAAGCTTATTATATTTCTATAGAACAAGGAAGATAACTATATTATATACAGTAAAAAACCGTTAACGATTGACAGATAACGAAACAGGAAGAACTTGGCACCACTTCTATTGGTCAGTAATTGTCAGACGGGATATGATATTATCTTCATAAAGAATGTACTATAATTTTCTATTTGCTATACGTTATCTAAGATGTCAGTATTTATAAGTATTGTATGGTGGTAGATTTCTTCCATTCCTTTTGACGGCGCCGACACTAGGATAAGATACATTTTTGGCGAAATAATGATACTTTAATTATGGTGACAGATTTGTTCCATTCGTGTTTTCGCCCCGCGACCCCGCCAAGCGAAAAATCGAGAATTAACAAGTTAAAATGGCGGGGGCCCGGAGCTAAAACATGCTTGTTAGCGAGGGCTCGGGGCGAAGTTAAATAAATAAAACTTTGCCCCGAGCGAGATTTAAGACTTCGCCTCTCACCACCCTTCCTGAAAATTTGCGTGTTTTCGCACCGCGACCCCGCCAAGCTAAAGTCGAGAATAAACAAGTTAAATGGCAGAGGTGCGGAATGAAAACACGGTAATTAGCCGGGGCGCTATTTAGCATGTTTTCGCTCCGCGCCCCGCCTTTTTATTTCTTTAATCTCGCCTGGCGGCCCCGCGGGGCGAAGTTTTATTTATCAATAATTATCGCGCGCGCCCTCGCTAATAAGCTTGTTTTCGCTTCGCGTCCTCGCCATTTTAACTTGTTAATTTTCGACTTTTCGCTTGGAGGGGTCGCGGGGCGAAAACACGAATTGCACAAATCAAACATCATATTTAATAGAAGAAGACACGAGACCTTCTTCTGTAGAATTATCGTGTCGGCGGGTAAAAATCTTCGACTTTCAAGACTCGATAAATTGGCAAATTATCGTGTCTTTGCTTTTCGCCTTTTCAATCGAAGACACGGCAACACGACAAAAATAGTGCGCCCATGCGAAGTTTTTTACCCGCCAACACAATAATTCTACAGAAGAAGATCTCGAATCTATTAAAATTTCATTATTTTGCCTAAAATATATCGTGTTTTTGTGTCGGCGCCCTCAAAAGTCGAAGGCGAAAGCTCGATGAGTGAGCATTTTATCGTGTGCTAGTGTCTTCAACCAGACACCAAGTCATGAAATGGCAGAAATCAGCAACCATAGTATACTCCGGGGTGTCATGACTCCAAGAGGTCTTAATAATGATATACTCTACAGTCAGGCTGTATTCAGCCACATATTATTTTGGAAAAAATGACAAAATGTATGCCAATTAACATTGTTCATGTATTTTAAAAAAAAATATATAGTCAATGAGAATGTACACAGTCAAAGAGAGCAGCTGTTACTTTAAAGTGTGAAATAAGATCCCCCCCAGTAATTTATAGCTTGATGAAAACTGATATCTTATTAACTAACTAGGAAGTAAACATGATATATGATGCTGTATATAATTTTATCTTATGAAATAAGTTTTTGCCATGAAGTCATCTTGACTATATAATTTGATATAGTTTTTTATGCCTAGCTACTGTGTCATCTCGTACCACTAAAAAAGAATATCGCTAAATACGGTGCTATCAGGGATATTGCTCTTTTTAATTTTTTTAAGCAGTAACACTTTCATCGGGATTCACATTTCTTTAATTCTTTACTTTCCGTTTTAAGAAAGCCTTACGTACTCTCATTTATCTTTTCTCCACTCTCACAGGAAATATTACCTGTCATTTAAATCTGTCTGTGATGTGCAGGCTAGTCACCTTTCAAAATTCCATTTGATTTAGTTCCACCCTTTGCATATTCTTTTCGCTGCTTTTAATGGTTTGATACTAATGTTTTAATCACTGCCAAATCACCATCAACACATAGCAACACTAATATAATAAAACATAGCAACAGATTAACACTTACGTCAACATATAGCAACAGAGTAACATTTACGTCAACATATAGCAACAGAGTAACACTCACATCAACACATGGCAACAGAGTAACACATCAAAACAAAGCAACCCTAACATCAACACATAGCAACAAAGTAACACTCACATCAACACATAGCAACAGAGTAACACTCACATCAACACATAGCAACAGAGTAACACTCACATCAACACATAGCAACAGAGTAACACTCACATCAACACATAGCAACAGAGTAACACTCACATCAACACATAGCAACAGAGTAACACTCACATCAACACATAGCAACAGAGTAACACTCACATCAACACATAGCAACAGAGAAACACTCACATCAACACATAACCACAGAGTAACACTCACATCAACACATAGCAACAGAGTAACACTCACATCAACACATAGCAACAGAGTAACACTCACATCAACACATAGCAACAAGGTAACACTCACATCAACACATAGCAACAAAGTAATACTCACATCAACACATAGCAACAGAGTAACACTCATATCAACACATAGAAACAGAGTAACACTCACATCAACACATAGCAACAGAGTAACACTCACATCAACACATAGCAACAGAGTAACACTCACATCAACACATAGCAACAGAGTAACACTAACATCAACACATAGCAACAGACTCACAGTCATATCAACACATAGCAACAAAGCAAAAGAATAAGACTAACATCAACGCATAGCAACACAGCAACAACAACATTGCAACAGATAAACACAAAAATATCAGCGACAAGAAAGTCTAAACATACAAAATTACGAAGACGTGTGGTAAAACATTTTGAAGTTACACTGATTTGCTAGTCTGTAAGACCATCGAATTACCTACATTTTGTACAGTCATGAAATATGAATATAGGAACCGTTGCCATAGTATTGGAATAAAACAGGCATTCTCCCGTTTTTCAATTACGAATGTAATAATCGTTTCCAGAATTGTTTTTTTTTCTGATTAAAAAATAGAAGGTAATGATAGGAAGTTGAAATAGTTATAAGTATTGAAATTTAATATTTGCTTCTGATTTAAACAGAAAACTATATATGTACTTTTAATCAGGCGATAAAGTTTGCTGAGAGTCTCATGTGACAATTTGTATATATGAACGAGGACTTTTCCCACTCTACATTGTTGTTTTACGGAACATCTGTGGTTCAATTCAGGTGCCTGTTTGTTTCTGAAAAGTATAAAGGTCGTCCTCCAGTAAAGAAGGAAAGTCGCCAAATGACATAAATTGAGTCACTAATGTTTGAATAACTATCAGTCTAAATGAAAACATACCTAACTTTTTGAACGAAACTTGAAATACCATACCACTAGGAATCACTATAAGAAAGATAATTATTAATGTACCTTTACCTAACCACGTCCAACGCAAATAATATTAGTGTTTTAAATGAAACAAAACAGTCGAAATTCTATACGCCTGCTACTTATTTTCTATAAATTGTCAATATCAGTTTTTGTTTGACATTCGAAAGATATTTGATTTTTCATTAACAAGTTAACATGTAAAACTATGGTAATACTGAAACAAAAAACGGATACAATAAGCACCGGTTTGTAAACAAGCAATGTTTTATAAAGAATGTTCAATTAATTATAATCTACAGTAAAAATCTGAAGATTTTCAAAACAGAAAACTTTATATATACATAATATAAGCTAAACTTTGGAAGGAATTATTTTTGTGACAGTGTGTGTTTGTATTACATCTCATGAAACTAGTTTTAAATAAACTAGCATTAGATATCTTAGAAGTCAGTCTTTAATAAGTAGAAAGAAGAAACAGAACAGAACAGAGTATATTTTTATTTTGTATTTGTACATAGTACATCATCTCTACAATATAAATACACAAACTGTAAAGATGTCACGTTTCTATTTCACAAATAATATAGGATTCATTTTCATGTAAAGCTGGAGAATGAACAGTAATGGATTAAGAAAATATTACTGTCACTTTGATAACACAGAGTATATACATATTTGATAGAACAAATCAATTGAATTTTGAGTATAAATTTGTAACAAAATATCAAAATTCAGTTGTTAGTACTAACAAGAGTGTTCTTGGTTTTAATCGATTAGATTCGTGAGTATAACACCGGGTTTGTTTTTAATGTTTTCATTTATCTGAGTTTTTAAATCATTCTAAGGAGTCGCTCAGAATAATAGAGACTGAACTGTAATATATACATTCAATTTATCTTACACTCAATTGCACTGAATATACATCAAATAATTAAACTGTGTGCTCTTTCAAATCGACCTTAACTAATGTCCGCTCATTTGTAGATAGAACTGTAAAGGGGAACATTCAAATCTATATTTTGTTGGAGCAAAAAAAGAGGCATATTGGTTTGGAAATAACCCCAATTTAAATAACATCGAAGCATGAAACTTTTCGTTTAAAATTCCTAAAATAAATATGCTATCACAATAAATGAGCCTGATAACGCTACAACTAATTTTCAGTGAATGTTTTAAACAGACTGTGATAGGTCATGATGTGTATATATGTTGATCTTAAATCAAATCAGTATTTTATCAAATTTAACACTACTAGTTGTATAACAAGGTCAGTTCAACAGCGCTTATAGTTGTCTAGAGTTCAAGGTTATAAAGAAATTCTCTAAGCTCAAACTCAAATCTCTGGTATTTGATTGGTCAGAATTTGCCACAGAATAGTCTTTGACCAATGAAATTCCTGAGATTTGAGACAGAACTTAGGAAAAAGTTTTATAACCTTGAGGCCGAGTCTACAAAATGCACACAATCAGGCAATGAAATTTATTTGATATTATAACTACCCCAATCAGATGATGAATTTATAGTAAAGTAACTATAATCATTTATAAATTTTTCAAAATCTCATTTTATTACAAATTATGAAATAAAAGTTAAGAAAACAAGTAATAATACTTTTCCGTACCACGAAATATCATTTAGCTATACATTTGTAAACAAGAGATATTAATTCTTTAACCAATATTTATAACTTCAAAATAGCCACCTTTATCATATATATACTCATTCTTTGAATTCAATCTTTCAGGTATTTTGTTCCTCATGACCTATTACTAGTATATTATTTTATTTCCTTTAAAGACGGTCATGTGTCAGTCTTAGAATCTGGTTACACATATTTTTTTTTAACAACGACCAGACGTTAGTTTAATGACCTGCCAGTTTCTGAAAGCTCTGTTAAATTTAACCGCCCGTTAAAAACCAATTCAATTCAATTCTTTTATTCATTGAAAACACATTTTCATATAAATATCAACAGCTAACAACCACAACGCACTGCTCGCAGGCGTCCTCTACTTTACTGTAAGTATGGTAAGTAACTTTTATTACATATGTATTATATGTCAGAGAGTATGCGGTATCAACATTGTTCATGTATTTTAAAAAAATATATAGTCAATTAGAAGAGAGCAGCTGTTGTTTTAAAGTGTGAAATAAGATTCCCCCTACCCCCTCCCCCCCCCCCCAGTAATTTATAGCTTGATGAAAACTGATATTTTATTAACTTACTAAAATTTAACCTCAGTAATCAAAATTTACTGTATATGATTTTATCTGAAAAGAAATAAGTTTTTGCCATGCAGTCATCTTGACTACATAATATGATATCGTTTGTTTTTATGTCTATTTACTGTTGTATCACCTCGTACCACACAAGTGAATATCGCTAAAGACGGTGCAGTCAGTGACATTGCGCTTTAAATTTTGTTTAAACAGTCGCACTTTCATCGGATTGTCATTTCTTAAATTTTTTTATTTTCCGTTTTAAGGAAAGGCTTACATACTTGAATTCGCATTTTTTTTTCACTCTCACATGATATATCACCTGCCATTTAAATGTGTCTATGATTTACAGGCTGGTCACCTTTCCATTTAATTTAGTTCCGCCTATTGCATATTCTTTTCGCCGGTTTTAATGGATTGGCACTATCGTTTTAATCACTGCCAAATCACCATCTGGCTGCACAGTAACACTAACATCAAAACTTAGCAACATAAATATAGCAACAGAGTAACACTTACATCAAACATAGAGCAACAGATTAACACTAACATGAAAACATAGCAACACTAAAATGATAATACATAGCAGCAGAGAAACATTTACATCAACACACAACAATAAAGTAACACTTACATCAAAAAATAGCAACACTAATATAATAATACATAGAAACGTAGTAACACTTACATCAACATATAGCAACAGATTAATATTTACGTCAACATATAGCAACAGAATAACACTCACATCAACACATAGCAACAGAGTAACACATCAAAGCATAGCAACACTAACATCAACGCATAGCAACGCAGAGATTTGAGACAGAACTTAGGAAAAAGTTTTATAACCTTGAGGCCGGGTCTACAAAATGCACACAATCAGGCAATGAAATTTATTAAATATTAAAACTACCCCAATCAGATGATGAATTTATAGTAAAGTAACTATAATCATTTATAAATTTATCAAAATCTCATTTTATTACAAATTATGAAATACTTAGTAAAAATAAAGGAAACAAGTAATAATACTTTTCCGTACCACGAAATGCCATTTAGCTATACATTTGTAAACAAGATACATTAATTCTTTAACCAATATTTATAACTTCAAAATAGCTTTATCATATATATACTCATTCTTTGAATTCAATCTTTCAGGTATTTTGTTCCTCATGACCTATTACAAGTACAAATGTATATTTTTTATTTCCTTTAAAGACGGTCATGCGTCAGTCTTAGAATCTGGTTACACACTTTTATATTTTTTAACAACGACCAAACGTTAGTTTAATGACGTGCCAGTTTCTCAAAGCTCTGTTAAATTTAACCGCCCGTTAAAAACCAATTCAATTCAATTCTTTTATTCATTGAAAACACATTTTCATATGAATATCAACAGCTAACAACCACAACCGTCCTCTACTTTACTGTAAGTATGGTAAGTAACTTTTATTACATATGTATTATATGTCAGAGAGTATGCGGTATCAACATTGTTCATGTAGTTAAAAAAAATATAGTCAATTAGAAGAGAGCAGCTGTTGCTTTAAAGTGTGAAATAAGATCCCCCCCAGTAATTTATAGCTTGATTGATGAAAACTGATATTTTATTAACTTACTAGGAAGTAAACAACCAGCCAGTCAGGGTCTTTTTACGGAGTCTTGAAAAAAGAATTAAAACTAATTCAACTAAAATTTAACCTCAGTAATCAAAATTTACTGTATATGATTTTATCTGAAAAGAAATAAGTTTTTGCCATGCAGTCATCTTGACTACATAATATGATATCGTTTGTTTTTATGCCTATTTACTGTTGTATCACCTCGTACCACACAAGTGAATATCGCTAAAAACGGTGCAGTCAGTGACATTGCGCTTTAAGTTTTGTTTAAACAGTCGCACTTTCATCGGATTGTCATTTCTTAAATTTTTTTATTTTCCGTTTTAAAGAAAGGCTTACATACTTGAATTCGCATTTTTTTCACTCTCACATGATATATCACCTGTCATTTAAATGTGTCTATGATTTACAGGCTGCTCACCTTTCCATTTAATTTAGTTCCGCCCATTGCATATTCTTTTCGCCGGTTTTAATGGATTGGCACTATCGTTTCAATCACTGCCAAATCACCATCTGCATGCACAGTAACACTAACATCAAAACTCAGCAACATAAATATAGCAACAGAGTAACACTTACATCAAACATAGAGCAACAGATTAACACTAACATGAAAACATAGCAACACTAAAATGATAATACATAGCAGCAGAGAAACATTTACATCCACACACAACAATAAAGTAACACTTACATCAAAACATAGCAACACTAATATAAAAATACATAGAAACGTAGTAACACTTACATCAGCACATAACAACAGATTAATATTTACGTCAACACAATTATAGCAACAGAATAACACTCACATCAACACATAACAACAGAGTAACACATCAAAGCATAGCAACACTAATATCAACGCATAGCAACGCAGAGATTTGAGACAGAACTTAGGAAAAAGTTTTATAACCTTGATGCCGGGTCTACAATATGCATACAATCAGACAATGAAATTTATCTTATATTATAACTACCCCAATCAGATGATGAATTTATAGTAAAGTAATTTTAATTGTAATTATAAATTTGTCAAAATCTCATTTTATTACAAATTATGGAATACAAGTAAGAAAACAAGTAATAATACTTTTCCGTACCACGAAATGTCATTTAGCTATACATTTATAAACAAGAGATATTAATTCTTTAACCAATATTTATAACTTCAAAATAGCTTTATCATATATATACTCATTCTTTGAATTCAATCTTTCAGGTATTTTGTTCCTCATGACCTATTACTAGTACAAATGTATATTTTTTATTTCCATTAAAGACATGCGTCAGTCTTAGAATCTGGTTACACACTTTTATTTTTTTTTAACAACGACCAGACATTAGTTTAATGACCTGCCAGTTTCTCAAAGCTCTGTTAAATTTAACCGCCCGTTAAAATCAATTCTTTTTCTATTGAAAACACATTTTCATATGAATTTCAACAGCTAACAACCACAACGCACTGTTCGCAGGCGTCCTCTACTTTACTGTAAGTATGGTAAGCAACTTTTATTACATATGTATTATATTTCAGAGATTATTACAGCTGAGAGCTTATTTTAATGGTCAGGAGTAATGTTTTGATTCTGTTTTTAAATGTGTATTATAAGTTTGTTCCCTATTAGAATTGATATAACAACAGCCCAGTGAATTGCTTTATACTTATAATTATAGTCTTTCTAATACAACAGTAGAAATATATGTAAGCCCTAAAGATGATAGACTAAACAGCATTTTCAATACATTTAAAGCAATTCAAGTATGTATTTTATACATGCATATGTAAATATGATTTTCATTACGTTTACCTCTGTAAGTTTTGCTTATACGTCTCATCAGTCTATCAGATTTATTCATTTTGACTGTGATGTAAGTGATGTACATGTGATGAGACGTAAATAAACTATTTGAATTGAATTGAAATGCTCAAAATTACTGCAACGTTCACTTTAACGGTTTCATCAACGTCTTAATCCATTTGTTAATCTAATCCAGGACTGAATCTCCTTAGAATTTAAACAAAGGGACTTAAGAAATGATTTTGTATGTGTAATATTCTTTGTATGCTTTGACAGTCATATAATTAAAAATTATGCAAAATATCAAAATGGTAATAGTGACGAAATAGATTTAATAAATTCCTTAATGTTCCTTTTACTGCAAGTGAGAAAAAGATGACTTGTATTATCACATTAGGTCGTTTAAATTGTATTTTAATAACTACCGGAGATTGAGTGATTTTGTCAAGGTTAAAACACACAATGATATAAATTTTAAATTACATAAAATCAGTAAAATAAAAAATTTCAGTTTTAAGTGTCTGTTAAAGTATTTTTGTGTAAATGATATTTTGTAACCATGATACACAGTCCTCTTTTCTCATTCTCACTAGTGTAAATGGGTATTCTGTAATTACTTCAAAAATATCAATTCGCGCAGCAAACATACTTTACGATTTTAAATTGTATTCTTCATACAAATTAGCATTCACTTCTGATAGTGTTTTGATAACATTATTTCTCGGCAAATGTTCACAGGTCAATGTTCCAAGTTTATTACTGTAAAAGTGGTCATTCTCTACGAAATTTTGAAGGGTTTTATTCATCTGATTGATTTTATCAACCAACAAATAATAACTGAAGAAATTTAAAAAGTTCAGATAGTAACATATCATTGCCCGTTACTAGCGAAATATAGCGACCAAAGATAATGGAACAAGAGCAGGTCTTCTTTAGCCTTGATTTGTCCCAGAGCAACAGTCTTGCTACTATTGTCCGTAAATTTGTCACTTCAACACTTCAAACTTTTCTTCTACCAATTTATCAAAAAGAAGAGTTTTTGTTAATACAGAATGTGTTGCTTTTACCCTTTTATCATGCTTTTTAGATGCCGTTTTTCAAACTACAAAACGATTACATGGGACTGAATGAACTTGTGAAGAGCTGATTAAGATTTAACACTATTGTGAAAATCGTTTTGAAAAACAAGTTCTCAACCGACTGTAAAGTAACAGTCGGTTAGCTACTTAAGTGACTTACTTTATCTGATGGTTAAATTTCAAGAGGTTTGAGGAACTGCCCCTGGGTTGGTTGTTAACAGTTTTTATTTCCCTTAACAACGGTCATATATATGCCAGTTTTAGAATTTGGCTGTTTACTTCTAATATTTTCCTTAACAACAGTTAAACGTCAGTCTTAGAATGTGGTTGTTCACAATTCTGCTGTCGTCTATAACTAGTTGATACGTCTTGTATATCGTCTTGTATATCGTCTTGTATATCGGCACTGAGATTGATGAATTCTTCTTCAACCTCCTTGTCTCTCAATCCAGGATTTCTGATCATTGTATACGCTTTCAACCAACGGTTTCGTGCAAGACGATTTGCTTTGTCAAATACATATGGCGATTCTAAACGATTGACTGTATTTTCTGCCCCTTGAACTAAACGTCTGTGGTGGCCTGCTGTTTCAACATCGAATGCGGAGTCAGTACTACCGTAGTTTCTTATTTTGTTATTTCTTTTATCTTGTAAACCATCCAATAAAATATCACAGAAAACTAAAAGAACTGGATGTCGATGGCATTCCTCAACGTACAGGAAACTTACATAGTACATATAACCTGTAAATATACATTGAGCAGTTTATATCAAAATCATATAGTCTCGTATTCTACAATTTTAAATTGTCCAAAATTGTCGTAAAATGAGGCGACATATAAAAAACAATAGGATTTTCAAAGAACAGTAACAAACACGTTTTGTTCTGAGGTATTTTGTGTGCCTACTAACCGGATGTAATCTTGTGGGGAAAAAAAAAAAGATTTTTGTTTAGCGGTTAAAGAGTCTCGGACTTTTCCGACTATCAATCTCAAGGTATACCATGTCATTACAAAGAAATTATATAAAACATCTGACGGAAATATTTGTAAATGTGTAAATACTAAATAAAAATTAATAACCTCTTCTTGTTCATTTTTTTTTTTCTAAACACAAATTCTGATTCAGCCCCTCATCGCTATTATAATACATTAGCGGGTAGCTGATGAAAAATATCTAAAGTGTAAAGGTAAAATATAATCTATATAATATAAATCAGTACCTTTATCCCATGTTTGGAAACCTGATATAAGACCAGGTTTGTCTAGTCTAGGTAAATATAAAATCCCAAGAATTGCACCTTTTAAAATCGTCACAAGACATCCAAACAAACCAAGAACAATGTAGAAGAAGAAAAGAAAGTATGCCACATTGTGATATACTTTTCTGGAAAAAAAGAAAAAAGGGAAAATATATCTAAATCCAAATAATGTAAGACAGAATCATCCAACATCTATTTGTTCAGTTCAAAACGGTAAGTTTTAAAATCGCGTTGATTCAAGTATGGTTTCTATCTGTTTTTATATGTTGAACCTATCTATAAATTGTCGTTAACAAAAGGTAAAAAGGGAAGAGAACTTGTATTTTATACCTGTTATCTAATGCCAAAACAACAGTTGATGTGCTGTGGCCTTTTTCGTTTAGTGAAGTCCTGGTTTGAAGAAGAACGCGGCTGAATATCTTTTGAACTATCATAAATACTTGCAAGATAACCACTCCCGACCTATTGTAATTCATAAAATAACAATTTATCAATGTCTGTTAGTTTGTTTGTTTTAAGTTAAAAATTAAGACTGCCCGACGAGGCATTAGTTCTAACGCACTTGTAATAAAACGAAAAGTCTCCACCCAGCAGGCACATCAACGTTGTTTCAACGTTGAATTATGGTCAGATTTCAACGTTGAAATAAGGTTGGATTTATATTCGGATTTGAAAGTTGAAACAACGTTGAAATTTCAACGTTGATACAACGTACGTTGTAGCTTCAACGTTGGCACAACGTTGAAGTTTCAATGTCATTTCAACGTTGAAAACCCACCATACTTTAATTGTTGGATATAAAGCAAAGTAACCAAGTTTAACAAAATATCAAGACAATATTAAATACTTCAGATATTTTATTTCAAAAATACAGTTCAAGTGCAGCTTAAATTCACTTTAATAGTTTTAACAATTAAGCTACAATCTGTTCCAATCTTTTCTTCTAGATCTTTCTGGGTATGTCAAGTGTTTGAGTACTTCTTTGGCCGTCTCTTACTGCTTCTGCAAATAAAAATAAGAAGTTTGTAGTTAAAAGTGACTTGGTCAATCTCAAATTATACATATAATTACTCAACTTAGTGATTTTTTTTTTCATTTTAAAATGCTTTTCTCTAAGATTTACATCATAAAACAGCATAGAAATTGAAAAATAGCTAAGTTTGATATTAACAGCAAATATTGTATATAAGACAACAAAATCTTTTTAAAAAGAAGAGCTATTTAAAAGTCTCAACTATGCATGGGTTAATAAAAACTCTCGTCGTCCTTGCAGCAGTATTCCAAGAACTATAACTCTAGGCTTAGCTAGACCATTTTATGCAGCATCTAAATCACAAACATGTAATATTTATTTATAATGTTACAGGAATATTCCGAAGAATACTATGGTTAAGACCAGATAAAAGTATCAGTGTTTTGAAAATTTTATACTTTTGCTGTTAGAATTCAAAATATTAAAATTAATAAGAATAAAAAATAAAAATTTCAACAACTGAAGTCTTTTCATGTTTGAATGTTATGCTGGCTATACAGGTTCAGCTTGCAATACTTTAAATTTAGCCAGGACAGGTCTAGATATAAATAATAATATATATAAAAATAGGAAATAGATTTTTAATCCCATTAATTTCACGACTATTAAACTTTAAAGTTTTTAACACTCAAATTTGTTATTTAACTTAATAATAATCATTACTAATGTATTTTTTTTTTTCAAACTAATTAACACTGTATTATATTATCAATAAAATATAAACATAGTTATACATGTATATATTGACGAATTGTCTTGGGACGTAAATTAAGTGGGCCGAACTACTTTATAGGTTGCAATTTTAAAATTGATTAAATTCTAAATAGGATATAGTACAGACAAATGTTTAATAATATGAAAAATAAATTAAAGAAAGACAAGATTTGTAAAATCATAAATTGCCAATGACATCAATAACTTCATGCTTACAATGCCTACCGAACCAAAATCATTCAATTAGGTCGCGAAAAACGTGTCAAATCAACTCAATCATGTGTTTATATCTCTCATTTATTTCATAAAGTAAACTAAAGTATAATTTAAAGAATAAATAATAATATTTTAGAAAATAATCAGTAAACTGAAGTAAAACATAACGGTAATACCTTCGAAATCCAAATAAATTGCCAATCGTGTTGTTTTCAAATTTTCCAAACAGCGCCACCATTTGCACGAACGATAATCATAGACAAACAAACAAACCGCAACAATTACTTCCCCTGACCAGCGTTATTTTATAAACGGGGTTTTGACTAATTAATATCAATTTATTAATTAATATTATTCATAAAGAACTAAAAAATAAAACAACAAACAACAAAACGTATTAACTAATATTCAAAGCGTTAATAGAAAGTGAAAAATTATTTTCAACTTTATTTGTTTAAGCGCTATATAATTTTGAATATACGGAAAATATTGTAACGCAAATTTTCCTGACAAAAATCACTTACAGACTAATTCAATAAAGGAATAATATCACAAAATAAGTGGTATAAAAGTTTATATAATGATAAAACTAAATGTAAAACTTCGACCATAAACAACGTTGAATCAACGTTGTATATACATTGGCAATATATCCGATATGGTCGTCCATGTTGAATATTTTGTTTGAACAACCGTCACGACCAATATTTATAACGTTGTTTCAACGTTGAAACAACGTCGAGTGCCTGCTGGGCATGCTCTTGCAACTGAACTCGTTTCATTAACCAATACTAAACTGTCTTAAGTGGGAGACTCATCGTTAATAATTCATTTTTAATACTGATTCAAAAGTAACTAGTAAATAAATATAAAAAAACACAAACAAACACACATTTTAAAAGATGTCAAAGTTTCGTTTCTGGGCCTATGATAAACGTTCAATAAGTTGTTCTATAAGAAAACATACAAGATTTATGAAACAACTCGTAGATTCAGATGATATTTGAGTATAGATCATCATGTTAATACAGGGAGGTTACAATCAAAACATAACGCGTATTTTAAGTAGCATTGCTAGACATATCATATAACTGTAAAATAGTTAATTAAAAATCAATTAGCAGGTATACCAGTAACAAGTCTGTGCTGTTCTTCATAGGTCACTGCCAACCTACATTTTTTCAATGAACAGCCGGAACCGTATGCGATCCTCTTTCAACACTAATTATCATTGCACATTTAAAAGTTGCTCGAAACCATGGTAACGACCTTGATAAAATGTGTTTTCAAACTCTACTTGCGCTACCTTTCAAAAGCATGCAATAATGTGTTGTTAAGAGCAAAATAAGTAAATAAATAAATAAATAATAAACAAAATTATACATACCCCAAAGAGTGTGCGCAATCTGAGAACCAGCCATAGCAAAGCTGTCTGACTGTGAAAATAGTAAACATTGTTATATTTCTTTTTCAATCTAAAATTACAATGATAGGAAGTGAAAAGTTATTGGAAGTAAGTAAATCTAACAAAATGACATTATTATTTGTTCCACGACCATATTAAACTAATATGCGACGGATATTGACATTGAATAATTCTCCGTGTATGCCAAAAAAAAATACAAACAAAAAAACCTCTAAAATGTCCAATTAATGACAACATTATTGACCAATTAATGACGACATTTTACAAAATATAACATAATCACAATTATTTATTTATTAATAATCTAACAAATTACACAGAATCAAAGTTATGTAGTATTGATGTTTTAAACATATTAGTGTTTTATATTATTTTTGTCCAATAGAATTATAGTTTTTCAAATGAATCATAACACATTTACTTTTGTAATTCGGCTAAATTTAATCAGTCTAGTAAATCGAAAGTTTTATAAAAATCATTTCAAACACTAACTTGGTTAGTTTTTATTAGTCAACCGTTTTATTAGTTTAACTTTGTAAATGCTTACTATTAAACACTAACCTATATGAGGGAAAAGGCGTAGAAAAAAAATGTGATTATTCCATCGTAGTAATAAATTCTAATCAATTTAGTGTTTTAAATTATACTTATAAACAGTCGATTTACTAGACTGATTGACAATTTGCCGATTTACCAAAATAAATGTGTTACAATTCATTTGAAATACTGCAATACTATTGGACAAAAATAATTTCAAACACTTACAAACTTTAATTCCTTAATAAAAGAAAGATTGAATTATACAAGAATTCTACATGCGTCTAAGGCATTATTAAAAAAATTGATATGTTATGTATATTTATGTACAAACCAGTAAACTGAGGTAGTGTCATTTATCTCTTTCTAACGGCAGTGTTTTGAAATCTTCCCTATATATATGCATTTTACTCGTCTTCGTACAATGTTATATTTGGAAAATGTGGAAATATTGTCAATAGTGACGACACACACAACGAAAACAAAAGAGAACCTGAAACATAATAAAACAAAAATATCAAAGTACTGAAATACTGATGGGCTTGCTACATTAGGTAATGTTATGCGCACGTGTAAATATTATATATAGGTATGATAAACATGTAAAAATAGTCATTTATAGCATTAATTTATAATGTTATATCAGCATTTCAATGAACCAAATGTATATACATATATAGATACTTCTGTATCATGTAAAATATTTGGATGTTTCTGTATATGTTAGTGTTTATTCGGTGGAATTTTAACAATTAAAAACCTCTGGTCGCCCCCTACCGGTCGCTTCCTTTGTGATTCTTAATTGTTAAAATTTAACTTAATAAAACTGACCTAGTGTTGAACCTCTTTTGACCAAGCTGGAACGCCTCCGGCCTTACAATACAATGGGAGTTTGGAGAGCACATTTTAATTTACCAAATACGTCAATCAACATATAAATAATAAAGGTAAGTTATAGATTGCATATTATTATATTGTTTACATCTTGTACCGCTGAATGTCTTCAATGTTTCAATCTGACGTGAATGATTTTTGTGATATCGACCTTAGTCTTCCTCTGCATGGTTTTCTCGCTGAGAGTTTGAGAACACTTCCATGTGAAAGATACTTAAATAACCTCTAAACAAAGTGAAAAAAGGCGTGAAACTTTACCCTTCATGTGCCTAAGTGTGTGCATTAACTGACAAACGTTTTTAAAATGACAGTCATCATTCATTTGTTAGTTAAAATGACAAAAATACTTGGGTTTGTCTATATTTTCTGCATGGGATTATAAGCAAAACGACCACATGCGCACACATTGTTCCAAACTCTTAATTATCAAGCGTTCAACTTAATAAATCATAAGTTTATACGATTAACAAGGGTACAATTAGCCCTTAATTAGCGGACGGAAAGCTCAGAACTTTCTTTCTTGATATCGGCATTTGTATCCCTTTCTCAAGCGGGAAATCTTCATCAAAATGCGAAACAATCGGCTGGTACCATATGAATATCATAGGTCGATGTAAATATCTTCTAGACCGCGTCTCGACTAATCGCATCGTCATAAAATATTTATAGTTCTTATTATATCATATGCAGTAGAGCATACAGATCAAGGGTCTGGACCGCAAACTTTTCATTATAATGTTGAGAATAGCAGTGCTGCTGGTGTTAGAATTATGTTCTTCTTCGGGAACCAACAATGGCCGAGTAAATCTCAGTTCAAATGCTTCAACTGTACAATATGTGTTTGTTCAACTGTACAATATGTGTTTTTGTTTATTTCCTGGCTATGGCTATACTGTTGTTTGTCTGTAAAGATAATTATCTTAACACATCACAAAAAGACGAGTTTGTCAAATAAAAAAAACAAAAATAACATACCATCACACACGTTAAGAAACAATTTTCCCATATCATCGTCAGTCGAATTGAAGCCTGGGAAAATGTCCGGTATCATTTTATGTAATTGATATGCAAAGAGTGCCGCTAAGATACCAACCTGTAAATGAATTGGTTTAACATATACACTGATAGTTCATTGGGTCATGAAACATATATTGTTGTAACAATGAGGCTTACCAGTACAAATGCAAACGACATGTAAACATGCGGTACTGCGAGCCGCTTATATAAATAACGTGATCTCATTTGCGTTCTCAATTGAAAACGGTCTCAAGCGTTTTTATAATCTCAATTTGAGCTAAAATCTCCACTGCGTTAGGACTCGGGGGGTGGGGGGCAGGTCAAACATACCAGACACTTTCTCTGCCGGCTGCTCAACTGAATGTTCAAAGCAAGAAAAGTAAATTCAGCCAAGCATTAAATTTAAACTATATTTGTTATGTCATCTTTATTTGTTAATTTATAATTTAAAAGTGAAAGAAAGTTTCACATCTGGGACGCTTAGATTTATTAGAAGCCATGATGAGGCGCCAGCATGTATGTACCACACAATTTTTCACTTTATTAAACAGTAAACAAGAAAAGAAAAGCAGAATACCTGTGTGATAATTATTTAAACCGAATAATATAGTTTATTGTTCAGATCATTTTACAAAATGGATTTTTTTTCTTCAATAAATGTACCTAGTGACTTTAAACAATTGAACTACATTTAATTAAACAACTACAATTAATGTCTTTAAACAAGTAATGGTTGAGCATGATAATACCTGGTATGCACAAATTAGAGCCACGGTGAAGATGCAGATAATTCTTGGAGAATATTTGAATGTTGGGTCATTTAGGTAAATATATCGTCGTAGAAATACCCTGTAAGAGATCTATATTCATAACAGTGAAGTAAAAACACATACATATACGTAAGTTTCAACACAATCTGATTTGCTGGTAAATTAGGTTAAGGGAGTTAGCCATTAACAAATCATTTGTATTATTCTTGTTTTAAGTTAGGCTGGACATTCGAAATGGGCAATTTAAATCCAGCGGTAAGTTTCTATTGTTTTCATACATGAAAACGAAACTAATGTTTATGTTTCAAGCACAATTATAACAGACAAATAATTTCACCCATCTAAGTTGTGGTTATCTAACGGACATAACACTTCTTCAATTTTATTACTTACTTCAAACGTTTTAAATTGGTTATTTCTGGCGCAGGACCAATGCTGCCATTTGTAAGATTCCTGCATTCAGGAACAAGTAACTCTTGAACATACTTCCGGTTGTGCTTAGTGCCCAGATGCTCCCGCTCTTCCTGTAAAATATTAACATAAATTACGGTAACACACTCGTAATACAGATATGGTTAACATTTCACTTCGGTCAACTTGGTTCTAGTCTTTCTATAAATAATTAAACATCTTAATCATTTTCTGAGAGTATTTACTACTTGTTATAAAAACAGAATAATGCAAAGATATAACAATATGTAAAGGCACATACATACAGACAGACAGATAGACAGGTAGACGAACGGTACGGTTTTAATATGCCGCCATAAAAACGTATTGCCAAAACAGAACGTTTCATATCCTAACAAACAATATATCGAGGGTTCAAAGGTAAAAGGTTATAACTGCCACTTTTGCCGAAATTGACTTTTTATGTTTATTATAATATACTTATTGTCCTTTATGTCTGACAAAAATATTATATAAATATTCTCAATCCTTAGTAAGACGGCAAAAATTTTTAAAAAAAGTTTTGTTAATAATTTTTTCTACCAAATTATTTAGGGGTAAAAGTTCTAAGTGTACTTATTACCTGTTTTTATTGTTGTTCACCATGTTGTGAAGAATAATGTAGTGGAAAAAGTTATAAATGATTTTATAACTTTTTCCCCTGACAGAATGCTGCATTCATAAGTTCACAGGCACTTCTGTTTTATCTCTTTTCCCCACGAAATTTATCTTTTAGAATTAAATGCAGCGAGAATATAACCGAATATGAAAGACAGAAAATATTCAGTACATACTGTCAATGGTGATTAATAAGTCAGGGAATTATCTGTTCCTGTTGCCAATAAAGAACAGAGAATGTTATCTAAAAGAGAACAAAAAACGAACTATTTTCGAATTCGTTTTTCACACAGGTAGAAAAGAGGGCGGTGAGGGATGTTGCAACTTATTCATTATCTTCATGTACAGATCAATCAACCGATTCTGCAATTTTTTGTAATTTTGTTGTGATTTTAATGCTTTTTCCGAGGGATACTTTGTTTCCAAATTTTTTTACTTAAAAACTATCGATGTTCGGTTCAAAAAGTTGCAAACCGCAGTAAGCACAAAGTGGTAGAGGGTTATTTGTTGGAAATGACAAGGAAGGGGAAAGCTGTGCCTGAAATAAAACCCGGGGAATATCAAGATCATTTGTAAAAACACAACGAAAGCTTTCGACTGTTGATCCACTACACACGAAGACGCAACAGGGTATACTAACGCATGATTTAAAATATATAAACGATTACTCAATGTATGTAGAAAAATGCAAAGGACAAAATAGAAAGTGTGGTTTCAGAGGCTGTGTTACAGAATCTTTTTAGTACAGAATATAACTTTTTTTCTTCTGTCCTAAGAAAAGATCAATGTCCACTCTGCAATCTGTATGAACTTTGAGAATAGAAGCATAGAACTAGATGAGGCAAAAAAAGCAAAAATATCATCAAGTACACCACAATGACCAAAAAAAGAAAAAAAATCAAAAGCAAGAAGGCGCTGAAAATTTGTTGTATTCTGCAGAATGTTAAAAAAGGTGAGGTTGTGAGATTATATGTTAGTTGCCACCAATAGCTTTCCAGCGTTTTTTAATTGTCAGTAAATTGGCTATAAGATAATTGCAACACTGATATTCAATCCCAAATTTTTTTTTACTTTAACAATTTAAAAAAAAAAAATGAGTTACCCTTTACTGGGATTTGAATCCAGACCTCTCGCTTCCTAAGCGAAGCCCGAAAACCTTCAGCCCACGGTTAAAATTTATATGTGAAAGGCCTGAAGAAAACCATATTATTCTTAAATTAGGGCTTTGTAACGACTTTAACTGTTGTTTACACAGAGTAAGATTAATAATCCTGAAGCTTTACTATAAGCATGTAATTTTAAAGAATAAAAGGGCTTCAATTCTTTGGTTATTTTCTGAATTTTTGGGCAATCTAAATCGTACTGTATATCTGTATGCATTTTTCCTGTATAAAGTTTATTTTTATTATTATAGTTTATTTTGTAAGGCACTACGGAATTCTGCATTAACTAGGTTGCATTCAAAAATCATTTATGTACTTTTTTTACGAAAGCCACACTTTATCTTGTAAATCATCGGTACTTCTTAACAAAACAATTTAAAAAAGAATTTAACAAAAAAAAAAATTTCCTCGACTGGGATTCGAACTCGAGACTCTCACTCACTAAGCGAGGCGCGTTAAACCACTTGTACCCGGAGAAAGTTATACACAGAATGTCTGAATAATATCAAGTCATTTAAATTTAGAACATTCCATTGCATTCAGGTTTTGTAATCTTCTTTAATTTCGAGGTATTTTGTTAAGGGTAAACCTGTTGTTTAAAATTGAAGTAATATTTTAGCAAAAATCCTCTCGCCAAACAGTCCGACATGTAGAATCTATATATTCCACTACTCGGTTTGTGTAGTATTCGGTAATCTACATGGCTAAAAATAAGTATTTTTCAATTGATAAAATATTCATCCGCGGTATTTGTGATTGTGCATTTATTGAAATTCTTAAGCCAACGCTATTGTTTAACTTTGAATGCGTTGTAATTTGTTGGATACTTGTACAAAATAAAATATTTTCTTTTCTTTTAAATCGCTAGTTTTAAGCTGTTTGAGAACTACTTGTTGTTAGGTTTGTCATAAACTTCTGTGTTTAGAGATTGAATGTCGCTTTGTATTTAGTTATTCTTCGATCAGAAAATACCAAGCAAAAACAATATTAGAAATTCTTCGACCTTCGGGAGTCTTACTTTGCTTGAAAAAAAATTGATGCGCCTGCTTTTGACCATCTTTACGCGCCAGTGACTCTCCCTGAATTTTTGGCTGTTAGTGTATACTAAAAGGGAATACACTGCTTCAAAAAAGTGGACTACTTTCAGGCATTTGCAATTAAGAACATTAGACTCTGAAATTTCGCTACCATTTATTTTGTTGGTTGACGACCCAAACAAATAAAAACAGTGCTAGAATGGAAAAATTCAGCCGAAAAAAACGCACAAAGAAAGAATCGCAAAGTTTTCTTGTGTCTGCATTTGATATCACAGGCTATTTTTGAAAAACACCACTCAGTTTTTAAAATTGGTGATCTTCGGGTTACAAAAAGAAAAACTGTGTTGTTGCAATTTGTCATTCTATGAACTGGGAAATGGTAACGGGACTTGTTATCTGTTGGATGGAGACACATGGGGAAACCAGGTCGTGCAAAGTAGGAACATTTTTGTTGTACTTGTATGTAACCCTTGTTGCAAGTAAGACATCTTTGGTATTGAAAAGTGACATTATATAGTAATGCATGGTGGAGGACATCATTAAGGAATTCGCAATCATTTGTTGCAAGTTGCTTAGTTACTGTGTCCAAAGATATACCTCACATCAATGGTAAAACACACATTTCTTTTGAAATTGGCCATTCATTAATGGAATGCAAATTCCATACATGATTATCAAAACCAAAGCCCTTTCAAAAGTTCATGTTCCCTTTTGCAGTGGGAACAGTTATATCATACCCCGCCCGGGCAAACCCTATTGTCGTTCTAATAAAAAAACAGTGACTCTGTTAAAATTTTTACCCAAAAAAAAAACTTTGGCTCAATTTAAAAACGACGTTGTTTTGGTTTAAGTGTTTTTTTTGGCTGAATATATATTTAAAAACATAGTTGATTTTTGAGATGGATTAAAGGTTTAAACCGGTTTAGCTTTGAAAAATGTATTTTGGCGGGGCTTTTGGGAAGGCCAAAAATTTTACTTTCGGGGAAATGAAACCCGGGTAAACCCTTTCCAGCCGACAAACAACCTGGGATTTGTTTTTTTCCTGCTTTTAATAATTTTTAGAAAAATTAAAAGGTTTCATTTTTTTTTTCCCCCGATAAAATCTTATTTTTAGTTTTGGGTTTTTCTGCAAACTGGTGAGTTATCAAATTGAAGTAAATGACTGGGGGTTAGATAAAGGAACAAAAACAACAGTATTTAATTGTATGAGCTATGGGGTTTTGTGGTTAGTGGTTCAAAGCAGTTTAGGTTATGGCAAAAGGAAAAACAGAAGGCAAAGAAAAGTATTTAAGGGCTCCAACGAAAGGCTTATACGGAAGCTTCCCAATATCTGCTGTTGCAAAAGCTTGAATTTTGATGGTTCACTTGTTTGCCTCTGGAAAATTCCGAAAAGAGTTTGCGAATTATACTAATGTAGTCAAATTGCCATGCAAGGCAAATCTATAAAAAGGACAAACTTTTCAGTCCCTTTTCTGGTTTAGTGAGAGTAGGAAGAAGATGAGTGGAAAGGTCATAGAACTAATTAATGAACCAAAACATTCAATTTTTGTGACATGAAACATAGTAGTCTTTAAATTTACTTAACTTACGATTATGGGTCACTAATATCTTAATTGCTGTGTCTGGGGTTCTGTTTGACTTCAGTTCGAATTATATACCGAGAGACATTCGAAAATAAATTGAAAATTTGTAAACTTAGATTTTTTAGGTGCGGTATTTTCGGTTTAAACTTTTTAGTTAAATTAATTTATTTTCTGTTAGAATCTAATATTTGACAGGTACATATTTCATATTTCTATGAATGAAAAAGTGTTAATATTTTGTGTGACGAGTATTAATGTGCATTGTGTTAGATTTACATTTACGTAAGGTTCTTCAAAGTAAAGGACATAATTGGATAAATTTAGCAACAGTAACACATTACTGTTGCAGACATCTATATTTTTTCAGAAGAACAGAGGCTATAACTGCACTTAATAAACATTTTAAACCAAGTTTATCTGCTACTTTTTATTGCTAAAACCCTTCAGAGTAAAGGGTCGTAAGTGCAGATTTATTACCTTTTTAAAACGGCTCAAATATTGTAGTCTTGACAGAATCTAAGTACATTTATTACTTTTACTTCTGTAAAAGATATTATTTTGATCTTAGCATTTAAAACAAGACTATAATTACAGTGGTTTTTTATCAGGCACCAAGCAATGTAAACTTAACAAAATATGATCTAATGTAGTCAACAAATATGGGAGAATCAAAATTGTTATAACAATATTACGGAAAATAAAGTTGTATTAAAAAAATATGTTTTTTGCGTTTTTCTCGAAATCTTGAAAATGGCAGTTATTACCTTTTACCTTTGAACCCTCGATATGCTCCTGATATGTTCTATGGATATTTGATCAATCTTTATGTACACTGAAACGTTATCATAGACTAAATCTGACACATTGATTACCTGTTCAATAAATCTATGTACCGACCTTTCTCTCACAACATGTATAGAATGCCTGATTAGAATATATCCATACCGGAAAAACAAGCCCATCAAACAAAATAGAACTGGAATCTGCACAGCAATATTCTGACCTTGAAAATTATACTGAAACAATGTGAAAATTAATAAATATATTAGTTAATTTGAACTCCACTGAGAAAAGGCTTGAAGCATTTTATGAATCACTCTCCATTCTGCTTCCTGGAACATACCAGGTCTGGTGTCATGTCGTGACCCAGGAAAGGCGCGCATCAATGGCCCCAGGGTTGAGAGACACCTTAATCACTTGGCCACCGATACACGTATAAAACAACTTACTAAAGTGGCTACAGCTATTTTCTTTACCGAGTCTTGGAAACGATGCCAAAAATGACGTGAAGGTCACGTGATATTGCTACACTGTAGCTACCTGTTGTCATTTTTCTTGTAATATATTTCAATTGTCGCTTCTAATATGCAAAACACATAGGTTTTAGTTCAGCAAATATTCGAATATTCCGTGCAGACTTCTTACCACAATAGGTGGTTAAAGATTAACTGTAATAGAGTAGAACACACCTGTATAATAATTTATATAGAAAATGCACAGATTGCAGAGAAACATATATATTAGTATAACAACAACTAATGTCATACATGTATTTACAACAATATATTTTCAATACTAGCAAAAATTACAATTAACATTTTAAATTATATATAAAGATTCAACTTACGTCTTCAGGTCCATTTGGACAAGTAATGACAAATCTCAAGTTAAAGTACAACCTGCAAAGAGAGAGACAAAAATAAGCCTCCTCTATATAATAAAAAACTGTGTGTCTACTTTCTTACACATTGTTAAAATTCTTATAAAACAAATATAATATATGCATAATAAATATAGGAAAATCAGATAAAAAAAATCAGAATGATCACGAATTTACAAAAATTAATAAATCAAAAAAATAATTATATAAATAAATAAATAAATAAAATACAATTTAATATAATAAATAAATAAATGAATCAATGAATAAATAAATAAATAAATAAATAAATAAATAAATAAATAAATAAATAAAAAGAATAAATAAATAAAAATAAAACAACAGATAAATATATAAAACAAGAACCGGTTGAACCGGGTGATGCTCCCCGAGAAGGTTCTGGACACAGGAAAGTATAAAAAATGAACAAAGGGCAAAAACTCCAAAATTAGGCAAGGCGAAGTTATGTTTTTTTGCACTGCACTTCTATTCAATGAGATCTATTTATCTATAAAGTTTCCTGATGATATCTCTTATAGTTTCAGAGTTATGTCCCGGGTAAAATTCAAAGTGTAAAAATGAACAAAGGGCAATAACTTCAAAATTAGACCAGGCTTTGTTCAAATGATATCTAGCCACCTACAAAGTTTCATGTTGATATCTCTAATAGTTTTAAAGTTATGTCCCGGATAAAAGTCAAAAAGTAACAAGAGGGCCATGATGGCCCTGAAGTCGCTCACCTGTATATAGGCCCCCAGAGCGGGGCCAGTTTAAACCCCAGGGCTTTTGTTTGAACAAACTTGGTAGACACCCATTAGAAGATATTTCATGCTAAACATCTAAGGTTTGGCTCGTTGAGTTTTTTAAAAAAAGATTTTTTAAGATTTAACTATACACATATAGTTAAAAGCAATGACACCCCTAGGGCGGGGCCAGTTTTGACCCCATTTGACACTCATTAGAAGATTCATGCTTAATATCTAAACTCTAGCTATTTGGGTTTTTTTAAATCAGATTTTTAAGTTTTTGCTATACACATATAAGGAAAATCAATGTCCCCCGGGACAGGGCCAATTTTGACCCTAGGGCTTTTATTTGAACAAACTTTGAAGACACTAACTGGAAGATGTTTCATGTTTAATATCTTAACTCTAGCTATTTGTTTTTTTTCAAAGAAGTTTTTTTAAGTTTTTGCTATACACATAAATAAAATCAATGACCCCCGGGGCGAGGCCAATTTTGACCCAAGGGCTTTTATATGAACAAACTTTGTAAACACTCACTAGAAGATGTTTCATGCTTAGTAACAAAACTCTAGCTATTTTTTTTTTCAAAGAAGATCTTTTTTGTTTTTGCTTTACACATATAAGGAAAATCAATGACCCCCGGGGCAGGGCAAATTTTGACACCATGGCTCTTATTTGAACAAATTTGGTAGACACCCATTAGAACATGTTTCATGCTAAATATCTTAGCTCTAGCTCTTTGGGTTCTTTAAAAGAAGATTTTATAAGTTTTTACTATATGCATATAGGGAAAATCAATGACCCCCGGGGCGGGGCCAATTTTGACCCCAGGGCTTTTATTTGAACAAATTTGGTAGACACCCATTAGAAGATGTTTCATGCTAAATATCTTAGCTCTAGCTCTTTGGGCTCTTTAAAAGAAGATTTTTTAAGTTTTTACTATAAGCATATAGGGAAAATCAATGACCCCCGGGCGGGGCTAATTTTGACCCCAGGGCTTTTATTTGAACAAACTTGATAGACACTCACTAGAAGATGTTTCATACCAAATATCTAAGCTCTACCTTTTTGGGTTTTTTAAAAGAAGATATTTTAAGTTTTTTCTATCGGTTGCCATGGCAACCAGAGTTCTGCATGGAATTAAATTCTTTGAACAATTTTTAAAGGTGACCACCAAAGGAACATTCCTGTGAAGTTAGGATGAAATTGGCTTAGCGGTTAATGAGGAGATGTCATTTTAAGTAAAAGTTTACGGACGCCGGACGAAAAGCGATCACAAAAGCTCACCCTGTCACTTTGTGACAGGTGAGCTAAAAACCTATGACCCCAGGGGCGGGGCCAAGTTTGATACTAGGGACAAAATTTGATCAACTTTGGTATTGGACCTTCAGATAATACAATATACCAAATATCAAAGCTCTAGGCCATTAACTTTCAGACCAGAAGATATTTCAAGTTTTCACTGTCTGTATATAATGAAAATCAATGACCCCCCGGGGCAGGGCCAATTTTGACCCGAGGGCCATTATTTGAACAATCTTGGTAGAGGTCAACTTTACATTGTTTCATGCCAAATATCTAACCTGTAGCCTTTACAAATTCAGAGAAGTAGATTTTTTTTAGGTTTTACAAATATACATATAAGGAAAAACCTATGACCCCCAGGGCTGGGGGCGATTTTAATTCTAGGAACAAAAATTTGTACAACTTTGGTTTTGGACCTATAGATGATACCATAGACAATATCAAAGCTCTAGGCCATTTACTTTCAGACCAGAAGAATTTTTCAAGTTTTCACTATATGTATATAAATGAAAATCAATGACCCCGAGGGCGGGCCAATTTTGTCCCGAGGGCCATTATTTGAACAATCTTGGTAGAGGTCTGCCACACAATGTTTCATGCCAAATATCTTACTTGTAGCCTTTGCCAATTCAGGAGAAGAAGATTTTTTTTATGTTTTACTATATACATATACGAAAAACCTATGACCCCGGGGTGGGGCCAATTTTGACACTAGGGACAAAATTTGTACAACTTTGGTATTGAACCTTCAGATGATACCATAGACAAATATCAAAGCTCTAGGGCATTTACTTTCAGACCAGAAGATTTTTTCAAGTTTTCACTATATGTATGTAATGAAAATCAATGACCCCCGGGGCGGGGCCATTTTGACCCTAAGGGCCATTATTTGAACAATCTTGATAGAGGTCTACTACACACAATGTTTTCATGCCAAATATCTAATCTGTAGCCTTTGCCAAATCAGAGAAGAAGATTTTTTTAGATTTTACTAATATACATATAAGGAAAAAACTATGGGGCCAATTTTGACACTAGGGACAAACTTTGGTAGAGGACCCATAGATGATACCATATACCAAAAATCAAAGCTCTGGCCCATGTACTTTCAGACAAGAAGATTTTTAATTTTGTGTTTTTGAAATCCTTTTCTGGCCCTATGACCTACATATGCAACAGACCGGAACCATTTGAACAACTTTGAAAGGGGACCACCCAAGGATCATTTCTGTAAAGTTTGGTTGATGTGCAGTCATTGGTTTCAGAAGAGATGTTGTTAATGTTCAAAAGTTGACGACGCACGCCGCACGACGCACGACGACGGACACAGGGCCATCACAATAGCTCACCCTGAGCATTGCTCAGGTGAGCTAAAAATAAACAAAGGGCAATATCTTCAAAATGAGGCAAGGCAGAGTAATGATTTTTAAGCATTGCACTTCTACCCAATGAGACCTATCTATCTACAAAGTTTAATGTTGATATCTCTTATAATTTTAGAGTAATGTCCCGGACAAAGTTCAAAGTGTCAAAATGAACAAAGGGCAATAACTCCAAAAGTAGCCAAGACAGTGTTACAGTTCTTGTGCACTGCAAACCTACTTAATGAGATCTATCTACCTACAAAGTTTCATGTTGATACCTCATATAGTTTTAGAGTTATATCCTGGACAAAGTTCAAAGTGTAAAAATAAACAAAGGGGAATAATTCAAAAATTAGGCAAGGCAGAGTTACGGTTCTTGTGCACTGCACACCTACTCAGTGAGAAAGTTTCATGTTGATACCACTTATAGTTTTAGAGTTATGTCCGAGACAAAGTTCAAAAAGTAAAATAAACAAAGGAGGATAATTCAAAAATTAGGAAAGGCAGAGTTACGGTTCTTGTGCACTGCACACCTACTTAATAAGATCTATCTACCTACAAAGTTTCATGTTTATACCTCTTATACATTTAGAGTTATGTCCCGGACAAAGTTCAAAGTGTAAAAATAAATAAAGGGGGATAATTAAAAAATTAGGCAAGGCAGAGTTACAGTTCTTGTACACTGCACACCTACCAAATGAGATCTATCTACCTACAAAGTTTCATGTTGATACCTCTTATAGTTTTAGAGTTATGTCCTGGACAAAGTTCAAAGTGTAAAATAAACAAAGGGGTATAATTAAAAAATTAGGCAAGGCAGAGTTACGGTTCTTGTGCACTGCACACCTACTCAATGAGATCTATCTACCTACAAAGTTTCATGTTGATACCTCTTGTTGTTTCAAAGTTATGTCCCGGACAAGAAAAGCGGACGGACGGACGGACGGAAGGAAAGACGGACGGACGGACAGACAAGGCGGCGACTATATGCTCCCACGAAATTTTTCGGGGAGCATAAAAATGAGTTTCATTTATAGCCTCTATAGCCTATATGAGATGATATACAATAAACTTACCAGAAAGCTGTATATCCAAGTCCTAGAAGGGAACCAAGAAAGACCCAGGTGGTAGTCAGGCAGGCAAATAGTGGGTAGAACATAAATCCGTTCTCTAACACGTGATACATCAAAATTAATGCTGCAGTAATATGAAAATTGAAAATAATATATATCTCATATATATGTAATTTCTTATCTGAAAAAAAACTTATTTCAAATAAAACGTTAAAAAGCAATGTTTAACTTGGCATGTATTGTAAAACTTACCTCAAATACAAAGCACCAAGCATTTATCACAGCCATAATCAAAGGTCAATGACATATTTACATTAATAATGTAAATGTGTCAGTGACCTTTTATTACATATTTAGATTGGTTATAATGTAAATGTGTCAGTGACATCTTATTACATATTCAGCTGGGTTATAATGTAAATTTGTCAATGACATCTTATTACATATTTAGATTGGTTATAATGTAAATGTGTCTGTGACGTCTTATTACATATTTAACTGGGTTATAATGTAAATGTGTCAGTGACGTCTTATTACATATTTAGCTGGGTTATAATGTAAATGTGTCAGTGACGTCTTATTACATATTTAGCTGGGTTATGATGTAAATGTGTCAGTGACGTCTTATTACATATTTAGCTGGGTTATAATGTAAATGTGTCAGTGACGTCTTATTACATATTTAGCTGGGTTATAATGTAAATGTGTCAGTGACGTCTTATTACATATTTAGCTGGGTTATAATGTAAATGTGTCAGTGACGTCTTATTACATATTTAGCTGGGTTATAATGTAAATGTGTCAGTGACGTCTTATTACATATTTAACTGGGTTATAATGTAAATGTGTCAGTGACGTCTTATTACATATTTAGCTGGGTTATAATGTAAATGTGTCAGTGACGTCTTTACGGAACGTCGGTGGTGCCCGTTCGTGCCTGAAATAATTCACGGAAGGGCACCTGAGGTCTTCCTCCACCAGTAAAGCTGGAACGTCGCCAAATGACCTATACTGTGTCGGTGTGACGTAAAACCCAATCAAACAAACAATCAAAAGATCTTATAATAAACTTCAGTGGTTTATAATGTTAATGTGCCATGACGTCTTATAATATATTTAGATGAGTTATAATGTCAATGTGTCAGTAACGTCATATAATATATTAAGATGGATTATAATATTAATTGAAGTCTTGTAATATATTTTAGATGTGATATAATGTAACTATGTCAGTGGCGTGTTATAATATATGTGGATGTAATATATAAAATGTGTAAGTATAGTCATATTGCTATGAAAGAGCGCTTTCACCTTCGCTCCACCTATATATATGACATACTGTTGAGGAAAACACCAATAGTATATACGCCTGTATATTCAGAAATTATATTTTCTAAAAGATTCACTTATTTTATTTAAAGTTTTGTCTATTATTTCTAATCAGCATGCAGAAAACGCAAAACTCTGTTACTACGAACAAATCGACTAAAAGAAACAAATATGATTGTTAAAGAATACATACATTTACTCCATTCAGGAAATTTGCTACCGATATTACTCATTCCAAAGAACAGATTAAAACAGTAGCTGGCAACGCTCCCAAACGCCATAGCATAACCAAAGTTATCACACCCATGGTCAAGAAGATTGACTGGACTGTGGAATAGAAATAATTCTAAACATGATTTGTGTGTCGTCTGCGTGTGTCGTCTGCGTGTGTTGTATGTTCGCACGTGATACTGGTTGGATAGTACAGCGACTTTTCAAGTTTACTGATGGAGAACAATCTCACGTGTGCATGAATTATTTCTGGCTCACATGGCAAATGAGAAGAACCACCGATATTCATGACTTTCTCACAAAAGTCCGATTTAAAATCACTTCACAACACATGAGGAGGGTTTCTGATTTTTAAGTGCTCATTTTGTTTTGATATGGCAAAATGACTCTTGGTTAACAAACATTGTTTTAAAACCACCGTTGATGTAAGTATTACTGTTTCTTATGTTCGAAATAATTTATCATAAAACATACAGTATATAATTTTGTATACGTTTGTATGTCATATATATCTGTTTTTGCAAAATATTGTTATGTTAATAAAGTTTGAAACCTTTGATGTTTTACGGAAGTATACAAGGATTTTTGTCGATGTATTACCAGTTTCTAACAGTAAATAACATACTATGTAATAGAAAGAGCATTGAAGCACGAGGTTATCTAATTTGTACGAGGTTGGAGGGGCGAGTATAAATCAGATTACCAAGTGGTTTGATTTTCTTTACCTTTTGTATCATAGACAAAAATTAAAAAAAATAGGTTCTTTGTCGTCTAACTATGAAACCTTTAGAAAAATAACCAAGTTTCGAGCATCTAAATATGACATTTCTATCGTAATTCCTTTCTCTATCGTCACAATGAGTAAACCCGAGAACAAATCAACGAGCATGCCCGACAGACAGTGCGATAGCTGCAGTGTAGTTAACACACTGTGCATGTATGTGTTTGACAAATTTTCAACAGAAAGGTCCCTAAAATATGATACAATTTCATAAAGCTGAACCTTTGTGATTCTGTTTTTCATTAATCTGTCTACATTAATATACTCACTAGATTATACCCGGTCTTGCACAACAACATCTTTTGTTCGATCTCTTCTCAAGCAGTGATAAACAAATCAGTATGGCGACCTTAATTATAAGAAAAATAAGTATAAAAGTTAAAGATAAATTCCAGAAAGATAGAAACCTTATTAATTTGAGGCAGCACATTTACAACAGAAAGCTTACAACTCTAACGTCCTGGACGGATGTAATACACCTCGTTATCTTTTTCTTGTATGTTCGAAAAGGAATGGAGAAAATATATTTTTCTTAAATTATTAAATAAAATGTACAATTGTCTTATGAACGATGAAGCTCTTAAGATGACGTCATAATAGTTTTGCATTCAAACACTTTAGTAGTCTTTATGTTAATTTTAAATAATTATTGTGTATTTCTTTCTTGACTTTCCTAACGTGCTAAAGTAAACAGAACAACATACCGATGCCGCAAGACCGTACAGTTGGAGCTGATTATTAACTGTGTCATCAGAACCGCATGCTGTGTTGTCCAAGATTACTCTGTAAGAAATAAAAAAAAATCCCGAATAAATATAATTATATCAGACACTTTAATATATCGTCCGTTATAATTTGCAATGATTATCCGTGAGCATATAGGTTAACTTTAATGTACGACTTAGCTCACTAGACAAGCTTTGCAATTACTCTGTATCGAAGTATTCATTACCAAATCAAACAATGAACTAATGAACGAATTCAAAATTCACCAGAAACTCTCGTAAGGGTGTTGTGTAAAAATGGGCTCATTACCAGAGATACAGACTCAACGGTATGGAATGTAGAAATATCTGATCCTGGACTCCCAGTCTATAATGGGATCACTTCGCTGTTGTATTTAATGCTAGTGTATCAAAACCACCACCAGTACGAAAAACTTCCAGAAAATTGAAATCAATAGATGTTAATGAGTTTAAAACAGACATTTTGACATCAGATATTTTAAATAGTGTTAAAGAAAGCTCCAATGTTGATGAACTAGTTGACTGTTGATTCAACCAGAACCTTGATAAACTCGTTAGTGACATCAAAAACACTTAAAAGCTGTGAAACTCTAACAGTGTTTAAGCACTTATTTAAGAGGTTTTATTTGGACTGATTATTTTTTAGGTTCTTACCTGAATTTTATTATTTATGTGGGTCTTTTTAACTTTTTTAAACTACATTTGTCTTGAATTTGTGACTTGAGCAATATTGATGTTTTAATTTTTTTTTCTTTTAAATATTGTACCATTTATTTGGTTATACGTATTGTACAGTACTTTTGAACGTGTCAATGTGCATGAAAAAATGCTTAAAGCTGCATGCCAGATGAGTCAAAATATTTCAATAAAATCAAACTTGAGAAATATGTACTAAGATTTTAGGAAATGTAAAATGATTCAAGATTCAACTAATATTTTACATGTTATGTACGGTTAACGACTGATTCTTTGGTATTTACAACTATATTTCTACTGCGTTACTAACGCAGAGAGGGCTATTTATGCAAATTTTGACCACGTTTTGGTAATTTACGTGGGTTGTAAGTGCCATTGATAATGTGTAAATTGCTTCTTTTTGGTTATTTCACAATATTATACAAATACATTTTCAAAAGTTTCATGAAAATTAGCATGAATCTGGAGGCGTGCTGCTTTAAGAAGTTTGGTATATAATAATATAATTATAATGTGATTTTGTCAAAATTTCAGTTTGTCCCCATCAGTTCATACACTCTGATATTAAACGATGGGCAGTACGTGAAGTGGTTGCACACTTGGTTCAAGCAAGAAAAACGGTTGCAAACTTGACAAAATGGCTACCGAATCATCCACAGGTAAGTGGGTTTGTATGTTAAATATGCCCATTCCTTAAGGCAATGTTTATGACACACTCGGTTAAAGGTTTCAGCTTCCTAACTTCTGATTTGACGAAGTTATTGGATATATAAACTGGCCATGTACATATTTTAAAATTGGACAAATGACAATCATGGTTGATTTTTATGCTAATTTATTCACATCTGTAAGTTTTGAAGTAAAATATGTTTCTGTTAATCTTGTGTAATTGTTTAATTTGCATGTTTCAATTAAAGTTTCAATACACAAAAATATTTTCGTTCAAGCGCATTTTGTTTGCAAACTTGTACTTTAAACATTTCTGGTTGCAAACTTATTTTCATTTTTTTTGTCAAATATAAAACTGCAAAAGGATTCAACGAAAATCATGTTTATTAGTCACAGATATTTCCTTGACAATTTAATACAACTGATTATAAGTTCTTAATTAATTACCATTTCTCAAATTCTAACCAACATTAAGATGAAGTATTGTTCTCCATTCATTCACAATAGCATACATTTTTGAAACAATTATATCATAAAAATACTTGAATCAGACTGCTACTCAGTCATTTGCATAATCCATTAAAGTTAACTTTTTCATACATTTATTAAAACGAAATTGCAAATTTCTACATCTAAAGTTGTTTCTGTCTAAACAAAAGGAATATATAGAATAATTTATTTTTATATCTTATTTACATCAATTTCATTAAATTTATGTAATTGTTCACATTTAGATCTCCACTACATATGTGGCGATTACATAAGTGGCTACTGTCATGCCTCCATATAAAGCGTCAGTTGATGTATATCGTCATAGCCCCACATATAAACGCATTCTCCTACTCTGTATTACATTTATGCAGACAATACAACTTATCACCCAAACAAAGAAGCACCGTTACGGTATAAAATTATTGGCCAAACCATGGAACTTACAACTTAATAGACAAATACATACATCATATGGCATTGACCCCAATTGACTTTTATTTGGCAATACGTATCTATGCATATTTAGATTAAATTCTTTGTAAATTAGTCAACATTTTCTTGGTAAATGAATCATAAGTATGTAAATACAATGTAAGTAACAAAATGTTAATTTAAAGTATTTTACAAGGATGTGATAATTACCAAGTTTCTTACATTACATCATGTATAATGCTACAAATTCCAAGTACATTACATCATGTATAATGCTACAAATTCCAAGTACATTACATCATGTATAATGCTACAAATTCCAAGTGGAATAAAACGAACTTAATTGTGGTTATCTAATGTATGCTAAATTTCCTTTAACACTCACAACTATTAAAGTAAATAACATGTACAACTATTACAACATAATATTAGTTGTAGTTTAATTATATACGTGACTAGTCAACTTGTTCAGACTGATTCGATCAGTGAACAATTTCCTTATAAAAATATTCGACGTATATCTTTTATTGTGTTTAAACTTTGCTTTAAATGGACTGTTGCAACAAATTCGTTACCTATATTTAACATGGTAAATGATTAAGGGTTAAAAGTGCTTAACTGCAGCATGTAATTTGTACGTTTTAAATATCAAACACTGTGATACATATAGAATTTGTGTTACCATCTAAAACTAAACTACATTGTTTTATTTTTTGGATGAATGACTTATTTAGAATATTAGGACAGGACAATGATATAGTGTTATTTTATTGTATTTTTTGTATTTGCACAAATCTGCATGTTAGACAAATTGTAAATTGAAATATGATAGATTTCAATAAGGTGTTACACGTGAATAATTTTGTAAAGACATGATCCCATTACACCATAAATATGTCTGCCTTTTCTAAAAAATAATATTAATATTTAATGTACACTAATTATTATGACAGGAAGTAACTGACAACAGTTACTGTCGTTATCTTAAACTCAATCCAATCAGCCATTACTAGTCAGATATACAAATTAAATGCTCTTATTTCTTAGGTTATACCGAAAAGTAACTATATACATGTATTTCGAGTACTTAACGTAATTCTCTATGTTTACAAAACAATACAGATCAGATCAGATAATTTACATACAAACACTAGAAATATTGCTAATGATCACCCTTTTTATTAGTATGGGAGATACAAATATAATCAACAAATCATTTCCTGTCTTTAAATTTCTTATTATCATAATTTTGATTAGATCGGTCGGTATCTTGTGAAGTGTAAGTGAAATGTTTACACATATACAACGTATTTTGATAAACGAAAATTTACTTACGGTGGGGATAAAGTATTTGCACTGTTGTTATTATTTCTAGCTCTAATATCCATTACTATTTAACACAGTTAACGCATACTTTAAATACAGAATTTATAACTTTGTATAGTATAACTGTAATGGTTGCATTTCCATATCCTGGTCTATAAATAGATTCACCAACATAAGTTATCAGCGCATGACCTTAAGTGTGTCACCGTGATCAAGCGGTAAAATTATCTGACTAAAATTTAGGCATTTAAAAGACTGTATCCGCGAACAAATATAACTAATAAACTAATAAACATATCTCTGTCTCCATTTTATCTTACATGAAATAAGTTTCCCGAGCTGATGATGCATGAATCTCTGGAACTGTTACACGAAAGATTGAGTTCTTATGGTCTGGAGTTCTTATGATAAAAAACGTTCAGAGTTTCTGTGGAAAACTTTTCTATATACTTGGAGAACTAACGTAAAAAATATTTTTTTACCTATGGGGATTAGGTGCCATAATTAAGCTTGCCTCACATATATATTATGTTTCAGAAAAACCTTTAATCCATTTTTCATCGCCTTTTAAAAAAAATCTGGTAGTTTTGAGTACAATTTCCAAATTACTTGCTGATTCGTACATATTAACCTTTCATTTGTAATCTTCTTCGTTGCTATACTTAATAACCTAATTATAATGGAAAGTTGCAGACATTAAGCCCAGGCTAATAAATTTATACCCGATCAAATGTCACGGAGTGATAGCTCATAATATGTCCTGGTGGAGTTCTAATGATAACTTTTGTTACTGCCAGTCTGTTTCTTGCGCTTAATTACGGCGTTTTTAAGCGTATTTTATTAGTCAATAAGTAGAAGCATAATACGCTTATCATTTGCACAAAAATTTGGTTATATCACGTTGGTTTAGAATGTATTTCAGTTCAAGAGATATTTTTCATACATCTGTTTCTTTTAATTCTTTTTGTGTTTGTTTGGGTTTTTAGTGTTTGTTTTTGTTGTTGTTTTTTTGTTTGTTTTTTTTTTACTTTTTCATCTTCACGAAAAACTTTAAAACGCACAGGACATTCGGGCCAGTAAACTTTCAAATCTTACTGGACCTGGTGAATTTTAGCCGGACCAAATTAATAGATAGGTAATAAATTGATGGGTAAAGGAAAACATTTTATCATGCTTCCCTTGATAATTTTAAAAGAAGCATAATACTTCTTGTATACTGGGCTATATGTTGACAGCTTTGAAAAATCTACAAGGACCAAATGATTAGGGAAAATTGACTAGAATTGAACATGAACGACGCAATTTGCTTCAAACAAATCACTTTCACACAAAATATTTACTTAACTCAATAATCACAAAATCATAGCTAAATATAGACCATAATAAACAATGGTGTAATTTCTGTAACTGTACGGTGCGGTACGGAAAATATCCAAGAAAAACTAGAGGCCTCCATTACTCGATACAATTTAGACATCTCTCAATGTGTTTTGAACATTTAGGACAGAATTGATGAGTTTCATTTGCAAAAAAAGGCAAAAATATCAATTTTTTTAGAGCCCTGCTTCATTATTTTAATGAATTTTTCTTATAATATTTTTGCATTGCCAAAAATCTACTGGCCCGTTGGACCACCAACCTTGCAATAATCACCGGACCGATGCTAAATTTAGTGGCCTCGGGCCTCGGACTGGCGTTTATTTCGAAGACTGTTAGAATGACTGAAAACATGGTTCATGTAGAGCATTGACTTACAGGATAAAAAAAATACGCTTTGAATTTAATACTCAAGCATGATGTCTTCATGTATACATTATTCCTGGCAGTTTTAGAAATCTTTAAGTAACTATGCTATCGGTCTGCTGAAACAAATTATATGTAAATGGTTTGCTGCAAAATAGGAAGTAGTATGCACTACCTTTATCTAAATTTAATGAGGTGTGTGTCATCTTTAGGTATTCAACAGATATAACAATCTTTTACATCATTCACTTTCCATAATATCTGATTAGATTATAAATTACACCTTTAAAAAAAGGAACAAACTAGATGTTCGGAAAGTAGTGAGTGTGAAATCATCATGTGAAAATAAAGAAGATAAATACGATCCCTATTTCACCTAGATCAATCTAATGCAAAGTTTGTTAAAAAAGCTGTACGGGATCCTTTATGTACCATGTGACAACTAATGTTAAAGTATCAAAATAAACAAAATAAGTCGAGTAGATTCGATATTTTTGGATATTAAAAAAAGCCTTTTATTTATTATAACACACAATAAACGCTTGTTCCTAAGACAAACTTGCATATGTACCTATTTATTTCCTCATATCAAAATAAACTAGAAATGTGTCCATAGGACACGGATGCCTCCACACGCCACGGTTCTGTCAATCTTATGACTCTAGGTCAAACATTTTTTAGACTACATGTGCCACAAGTTGAAAACTAAAAATCAACAAAGGGCCATATTTCTGTTAAATTTGGTCGCAGCAAAAATTTCTTCCTTTACTACCATCTACACATTAAGGTTGTTAATCCCTGAAAGTTTAAGCAAAATCTGCCATCCAGTTTAAGAGGAGTTGTGTTCACAAAATTTCCACATAGTATATAGTGAAAAAATCAACAAAGGGCCATAATTCTGTTAAATTTGGTCGCAGCGAAAATTCCTTCCTTTACTGCCATCTACACATTAAGGTTGTTCATCCCTGTAAGTTTAAGCAAAATCTGCCATCCGGTTTAAGAGGAGTTGCGTTCACAAGATTTCGGGACGTACGGACGGACAGACGTACGGACTGACGGACGGACGGACGGACAAGTGCAACGCTATATGCTCCCACATTGTGGGGGCATAAAAATCTATAGCATTGACTGGGTAATTAATTTTCTTGCTAGAAGAAGGAAAGAATCTAGGTTAAGGGTAATTACATATATGTTTAGGGCGCATCATTGACAGGCACCTACGTACATACGAAACATACTAGACATTTATATCCCATCCAGACAACTTAGATCCCAGAATGATTGCTTAGCACTTGTTGTACCGCGTAGCAGGACTGTGCTTTTATGACGGCAGCCCCTAAACTCTGGAATGCCCTTTCTAGCACACTTAAAAGCTGTTAAACTCTAACACTGCTTAAGAGAACACTTAAAACTCACTTATTTAAGAGGTTTTATTTGGACTGATTTTTTTAAAACAATTCTTAAGTCTTACCTGTATTTGTGGGTCTTTTTAACTTTTAAGCTACATTTGATTTGAATTTGTGACTTGAGCAATATCGAAGTTTTAATTTATTTTTTTAAATATTGTATCATTTATTTGGTTATACTGTACAGTACTTTTGAACGTGTCAATGTGCATGAAAAAAGTGCTCAAGAAGTTTGGTATATAATAATAATAATAATAATAGTAATAATAATAATAATAATAATAATAATAATAATAATAATAATTATTATTATTATTATTATTTCGAATGGACTGAAATCTCAACCGTCGATCTCAAGGGCTCAGTCTTTAATTGGTCCCATTTTTAATTCGACTTTAACCTTGATCATAACATTATAATCTCTTCGAGTATTATCTTCATACTTGACCTCAACAAACCTTGGGACAAGACTAACCTTGACCTTTATTTATAAATGTCATTGACCTTCAAGGTTAAATGTCTAAAAAAATTTTTGCTGATTTTTGCTATTAAGTTGCTATAACTTTGTAATTTTTAATGGATTGTCTTCAAACTCGAACGCAACAATATGTTAGGATAAACATTTAAGTGGCCCGGACAGACCTTAACCTTCACTCATAAAATACATTGACCTTAAAGTTTAAATTATCAAAATTTTCATTTTTTACTGTAACTGGCTATAACTTTGTTATAATTGAGTGGATTGATTTCAACAGAACGATGTTAAGGATAAAAAACCCATGTTTATCAAAGTCAAATTGACATTGACTCATGTATGACCTTGAATTGAAGGCCTAATTATTGAATGTTCACTGATTTTTGCTACAATTTACTGTAACTTGGCAATAAATTAATGGATTATCTTAATACTTTGACAAAGCAACATTTTGGACAAGACATTCTATAACGTTGAACTGACCTTGATCTTGAGCTTTAAATGATACCGTCAACGTCAAATCATGAATTTTGGTTAAATTGTCAAAATATTATTTTTGTACGGATTTGTTTTAAACCTTAAATGTGACCTTGACTTTAAGTAGACCGTGACAGCAAAGGTCAAATTAATGAAATTAATGAAATTCTATTGTTTTTTCCCTTAAACTGGCTATAACTTTGTTATTTATAAATGGATAACTTCATATTAAGACACAACATCTTTTAGGTCAGGACCTTCCTTGACTCAAAATTAATTTATTTCCACCGATTGTCGCTATGATTGGCTGTAACTTTGTAATTAGTCAATGGTTGGATAAAACAACCTTTTGGACAAGGCATTCTAAAAAGATGTTCAACTGACCTAGACATTGAGCTTTAAATGACATTGACCGTATAGGTCAAAGTAATGAATTTTGTTTAAATTGTCATTATTCTGTTATATATGTACCGATTTGATTCATATGTGGAAAAACCAAACAGACATGTGGAATAATTTAGATATGACCTTTAAAACAATTGTCATACACATGTATTTCTATTATATGTATTTAAGTCTAATGTAAACAAACACGGCTTGACAGCCTGCCCAGGAACGATGCGATGGCTGAACTGTGTTCTTGTAAATTCATTGTGCCTTACTGCAGTAATCAGGAATTAAAACTACCAATACCACCACCAACACAACCACCACACTAAATCAAAGCACAGAAGGCGCTGAATTTGTTTGGGTCTCAGAATGTCAGAAAGGTGAAGGTTGTTAGATTATAAAACAATTTGTTTTTGTATAGTGTCACCAATGCTTTCCAGCGTTTTAATTGTAGTAGATTGGCTATAAGACTAATTGCAACACTGATATTCAATCAAATGTTTATTTGACTTAAACAATTTGAAAAAAAAAACAATTTGAAAAAAAAATGAGTTACATTAACTGGGATTTGAACTCCAGACCTCTCGCTTCCTAAGCGAGCGCGCTAACCCCTCGGTCACGGTGAATTATATATTAATTGTCTGAAGAAAACCATATAATAATAAATTAGGGTTTGTAACG